CGTTTACTCTTCTTTATAATTACAGCACTGGCCATTCCTGAGAGTTGGGCATTTTTTTGACAATCATGAAGACGAGCCATCTCCTCTAATATGCAATCCAGCAACCCTAAAACTGAGGATGACTCTGTTAATCTACCCTCGACCTCTGGTAACACTGAACCCTCATCCAACACTCAACTGGCTCCTAAGAAGAATCTACCCCCTCCGCCAATCAAGGTTATGAGTATCGATAATTTTACCGCACTTCTTAATCTTTTATGTAAATACAATATTGGAAAGTCAGACTTTACGGTCAAATTGTTTGATAACAATATTTGGAAGTTGAACCCTAAAACTAAGGTATCTTTTAATTCTATACGGTTATGCATTCACATTTTTATCGACTAAAAATTGATTTTGCTGTACATCCTCCCCAGGTCCAGTCCCTTTCAATCTCTTAAGTTATGCAACCCACTCTGTGTTTTATTTAGAATTTTATTCTGAACGGGATAAAATAAATTGTCTTCTATTTTAATGATCACAATTTCAAGCCTCGATGTCTCAGTTACATACATTTTTGTTCATCTACTGCGTTTAGATCACTGAATATGATGCTACCAGACCGTCATGTACAGCCTAACTTTCTACCCAAATATACGCGTTTACTCTTCTTTATAATTACAGCACTGGCCATTCCTGAGAGTTAGGCATTTTTTTGACAATCATGAAGACGAGCCATCTCCTCTAATATGCAATCCAGCAACCCTATAACTGAGGATGACTCTGTTAATCTACCCTCGACCTCTGGTAACACTCAACCCTCATCCAACACTCAACTGGCTCCTAAGAAGAATCTACCCCCTCCGCCAATCAAGGTTATGGGTATCGATAATTTTACCGCACTTCTTAATCTTTTATGTAAATACAATATTTTAAAGTCAGACTTACGGTTAAATTGTTTGATAACAATATTTGGAAGTTGAATCCAAAAGATGACGCCACTGCTAAGTCAATTTTAAAGGCATTAGCAGAAATCAATAATGAAAACAAAAAAATCCAATATTACACGCATGCGAATAAAAATTTAAGAGATATTAAAGTTATTTGTAGGGGACTTCATCCCTCCATTGAAGAGAATGAAATTTTAGAAGATTTAATTGCCAAAGGTTTTAAACCTACGAAAGTTACTTGTCTTATGAAAAAAGTGGCTAATACTTCTAATAAAGACAAAGATAAACATCTCAATGTAAATAATACTGCTAATTTATCTCCTATCACTGATACTCTACCTATTATACCTGTACATTCTAAAACCGATCATACTAATTCTAATGTCTCTGTTAACAGCGTTTCTCCAATGGAAATTAACAATGAGATTGCCTCATCTTCAAATGTTGAAAATCCAGTTAAGGAAACGATTGTGAATAATAATAGCTCCAACCCTCAGGTACCTAAAAATAATAATAATAATAATAATAATAATAATAAAAAAAATCAAGTGCCTCTGGAAATTGGACAAAGTAATAATTGTGCCAATTATTATTGGAGCAACGGGGGAGATTCCTGAGAAGTTGTTTGATAGTCTTAGGAAGATCAACCTTAGAGAGAAGCTAAATCAACAATTGCAGAAAGCAGCTTTGCCAGGGAGCTGCAGGATTGTGAGGTGAGTTCTGGGTGATGGATAGTTACCACCAACCGATAGATTAACCTGCATTTTAAACTTCAACTTTTAATTTCTACCCCAACTTTAAAGTTTTAACTCCAATTTTAAAGTTTTAACCCCAATTTTAAGTTTTTTACTCCAATTTTAAAGTTTTAGTCCCAATTTTAAATTTTGTACTTCAATTTTAAAGTTTTAATCCCAATTTTAAAGTTTTAATCCCAATTTTTAATTTTTACTTCAATTTTAAATTCAAGGACTCTCCTCTGCATTTAATTGCCGGGGGAGGACTAAATATCTGCCGGCCTCGAGCTGTGAATTGAGATACGAGAACATAATAATAATAATAATAAAGTGTCTAATAATAAAGAGTCAGTGAAAGAAAAAGAACTGTGAAAGTCTGAAAGTTGATTAGTTCATTGTAATTGAAGTAGTGCTAATCGTTCGAATTCGCCTTTCTGCACTAAGTTGTTTCAGATTGATCACTGAAACGGAACAATGACACTAACTCTCAGCCTCAACAAGTGGGCAGCGGGCCTGCCTACTCTGAAAGCAACGCCTTTTCCAATCAGATCCAACCAGTATACCAATCGTTCCCATCCAATGAAATGGGATACCAAAATGTTCCCCCACCTGAAGGCATTCTCTATCAGAATAATGTGCGATACTCTCAAGAAGGTTTGAGCCGCATTCCATTACATCCAGTTGATAATAGCCAAATTGACTTTAGTTATCCGGCGCCAGTCGATGTTCCTCAAGGCTTCCATCCTGAAGGTCCTCCGCCGATGATGGGCCCACCACCAAATCTTCCATTTCCACGACCCCCAGGACCAGATGGCATGTTTTATCCACCGCCACCTGGCCCTATGTTTAATGAAATCGGTGGACCATTGCGTCATCGAGGAAGGCCCCCAAGAGGCAAAAGAGGAAAAAGGGGTTTCCCCTTTGGTCGGGGACAGATGCACATGCGGCCCCGTGCTCCACCTCCTCACGTGAGACCTCCAGCACCGAGTCCAACAGCTCACAACAACTTGATCACTCTAACACAGTCACAAAACCTGAAAAAACTAGATGCCACAGCAGACGAGAAAGTTGAAGAAGCCACAAAGACAGGTCCTGAAAAACCAGTTAAGACAGTTACGGATAAAGATAAATTATACAATTCTTTGGATTTACCGCAGCATAGATACTGCAAAGTGACAGCCAACTCAAAAGAACCAGAACAAGAAAAGACTGAAGAATCTTCAAAGTTCAGCCGCTATGAAGTAGAGGACTCCGACTCCAGTGAAAGTTCTGAAGATGAAGATGCAGAAGATGAAAGTGAGGAAGAAGAAGATCCTGATGTGTTAAATTTACTAGATGATGATGAGGATGACCTAGATAAGTTAATGGAAAAAATGGAAAAAGAAATGAGTGGTGGAGATGTCAAACCTAGTAAAGCTAAATCAACCAAGACTCCTGTAAATAAAACTAAGCAGAGCTCTATAGTAATATACGATACAAATGACGGCAAGTCTTCAAAAACAAGTGATTTAGATGCAAAAGAGTCTAAGTCCATTAACTCTAATGAAGAAATTAGAATTGTAAAATATTGTGATAATCCGCAAGAGTCAGAACAAGAATTGGCGAAATTTGAGGATGCCTCCAATATCATCGTCAATGAAGCCAACTGTAAAATAGAAACTAGTGAAAATGTTTCCAATTTAGTTGTAAGTAGCTCTATTTCAAATTCAGATAGTCATAGCACAACTAATATCGATGCTATAGATAATTCGAAAGAGATTAGCTCTCATCAGAGACCCAAATCGCCATCCGCTAGAAAATTATCACCTGCTCCTAGTAAAACATCGTTACCCCCACCAAGAACTGAATTCAGCCCACCACTCCATAGGTCGCCACCCAGGGGGTCCAAACCAATCTCTCCAAGTAGAGGATCAGGTATAGAACCAATTTTACCCAGATCCAGGCAATACTCACCAAGAAGATTCCGAAGCAGGTCACGCTCACCTCCCTACTATCGCACATCTCCAGTTCACTCGAGAAAGTCACCAAATTTCTCTCCTCCGTCAAGGCGATATTCACGTTCTCCCTCGCCCAGAGGATTCTTGGATAGGCGTAGGCGGTCTCCCTCTCCTTTATCTCCAACTTATAGAGCTGGACCAACAGGGTCTCCACCTAGGTATTCTAGGTACTTGAGTCCTGTGGGAAGTCGAGCCAAATCACCTGGTAGAAGATTGGGCTCGCCACCTAGAGGTCGTCGTTCCTCTTCCTTGTCACCTCGCAGGCATCGCTCCCCGACCCCTTCCAGATCACCACCCAGGAGACCACTCTCTCCTTTGCGCAGGCCATCCCCTGTCAGAAGGCCACACTCCCCCAGTTGGCGACCCCTGTCTCCTAGCAGACGTTACCCATCTCCTGGTAGGAGATCGTATTCTCCATCTCGAAGATTGTCCCCTGGTAGGAGGCCTTTGTCGCCAAATAGACGAACAGGAT